GTTCCCGCGTTACACAGGTTCCAGCTTTCGCAGGTTTTACTGTATATGTATAACAGTTGCTGTGGAGTCCACTCTGACTCCTGACAACCCCCATGTGTGTCGGAATAGAACCGTGCCCCGAAGGGTTCTCAGTGGCTGACGTTTCAGAAGTAGATCACCAGGGTTTTCTTTCAAGGCCCCTCTGAGTGGACTCAAACCTCTGACCTTTGAATTACCAGCTGAGTGCATTAACCGTTCCCACTATCCAGGGACTATATATATATATGTATATATATATGTTATCGTATGTATATATATATGATTATTTTGGGGAGAAAGCACGTGAGATGTTGCATCTGGACGGTGGAAGTGCACTGTCTTGTAAACAGTCAAAATGAGCCTTACTTTTAAGTATTAAAAAAAAAACAAATATTAATTCATATTTTATAAGTGTTATTTCCCCATATACTGTTTTATTTTTGCAAATTAGATCATTTTATTCTGGATTATTATGATCACATCTGTTGTTGATGCTAGGTGCCATCAAGTTGATTCTGACTCATAGTGACTCTATGTGACAGAGTAGAACTGCCCGGTAGAGTTTCCTAGGCTGAAATCTTTACGTCTTTACGGAAGCAGATTGCTAGGTCTTTCTGTGGAGCCATTAGGTGGGTTTGAACTGCCAGCCTTTTGGTTAACACCTGAGTGCTTAACCGGTATGCCACCAGGGCCCACTCCGATCACATCTAGCGCATAAGAAATTTTTCCAGGGCAGTAAATAATGATGCAGTGGATATGTAGATTAAGGAAGAGGACGAAATACCCAGGACTACTGGACTCTCTAAATGCTGGAATTTATTTAGAGGAGGAAGTGGTCTGGAGTTTTTCCTTATGAGCCTACAGTATGTGGACAATTCACGTAATGACTTATTTCTGGCATGTAGATACTCAGGTACGTCACTGAAAACGTGAATGGCTGGTATTTTCTTCACATAGTTTCATTTCTCTCCTCCCTTGAAGTGATGATTCATTTGCAGATTAGGTCTGTAACTCCTTTTTGTAGGTTAATGCTTGGCTTATACAACAAGAAAGGAATGTTTGCTTTTTGATGCTGTTATTTTGAGCCGGGAGTAGCACTCCTTAAATTCTGCAGTTCAGTTGATGATCTTGTTATGATTTAGCTATTCCAATGGGCAGGGTTAAAAACTGACACCGAAATATCAGCTCAAAAATTGAAGTTAACATTTAGGAGAACGCTGTTGTCCACTCATTCATTCACTGAACAAATGTATAGTGAGCACCTACTATGTGCTAGGCATGCTTCTCAACTCTTGGGATACAGCAGAGACAAAAAGGATAAAAATTATTCCCACCATGAAGCTTCATTATAGGGAGGGGGGCAGACAGTGAGTGAATAAACGACAAGGTATAAAATAACTCTGGTGCAAACAGTTAATGTGTTCAGCCTCTAACTAGAAGGTCGGAGGTTTGAGTCCACCCAGAGGCACTTTGGAAGAAAGTCCTGGTGATCCACTTCTGAAAAACCAGCCATTGAAAACCCTGTGGAGCACAGTTCTACTCTGACACACATGGGGTCGCCATGAGTTGGTGTTGATTCTCCAACACCCAGTTTTATATAACAAGTCAGTTGGTGGTAAGGCTGTGGAGAGCAGTAACACAGAGGGAAGTCACGGGGAGGTGTCTGGGGGAGAAGGAGGGGGCTTGCAGCTGTTTAACACAGGGAGACGTCTGAGGAGGCACTGAAGCAGATGAGGTCCCAGCCACGGAGACATCTGTGGGGAACGTCTTCAGGCAAAGCCAGTGCCAAAGCCCCACTCTGGTTTTCTCTCTGAGGAGGACCATGGAAACTGGTGTGGCTGGAGCAGAGGCATCAAGTGGGGATCAAGGAAGGGAGGTTTGGGAGGTGATGTGTGCATGGGGAAAGACCATGCAGGCATTGGGATGATGCCAGACACTTGGGTTCTAAGTGAGCAGGCAGCCATTGGAGGCTTCCCAGCAGAGGAGAGCCTTGATGTGGTTAGTGTAGTAAAGAACTGCCTGGCTCCAGCCAGCAGGCAGCAGTAGGGAGGCGGGGCCAGTGGTTAAATGACAGCTGTTAGGAGGCCTTTGTGGGAATCAGCCAGAGATGGTGGTGGCTTGGGCCAGGTGTTGGAAGTGGCCAGAAGCAGTTCAATTACAGATATATTCTGAAGGTAGTGCTAACAGGATTTGTTCAAGGGACGTGGAAGAAAAGGAAATATGCAACTCCAAGGTTTTGGGGATGCACAGCTGGAAGAGAATGGGGTCATCTGGGATGGAGCATGGGGAGGTCATGGGGGTGGGAGGCATCCTGATTTTGGTTTGGACATGACCATTTTGAGATGCCTGTGAGACGTCCAGCGGAGCCAACGGGAAGGCCCTTGAATCCTACAGTCTGAGTTCAGGGACTCAGTCTACGCTGAAGGCAGACTTGCGAGTCAGCCACGTGAAGATGGTTTTAGAGTGAGAGTCTGGATGAAATCTCTAGAAACTGGGCGAAGATGATGAGCGAAGAGGTCCCGCTGAGATGCTGGGATGCTCTCCTGCTGGGCCCCGGTGCCGTGGGGAGTCACTGTCGTTGCTGACAGTTGTGGTGAAGTTGATTCCCACTGTGGCGACCCCGTGTACGCAGAGTAAAACTGCTCCACAGGGTTTTCAAGGCTGTGTGCTTTGGAAAGCAGATTGCAAGGCTTGTCTCCTGAGGCACCTCTGGGTGGGTTTGAACCACCAACCTTTTGGCTACTAGTCCAGTGCTTAACTGTTTGCACCACCCAGGGACTCCAGGGGAGAAGCTAGAGGGGAAAATCCGGTAGACTGTGGTGGCCTGGGACCCAAGAGAGGAATGCGTTTCAAAGGGAAGGGAGTCATCAATGGTGTCAATACTGATGACCGAAGTGAGTCCCTCAGACGGCCCTGCTGAACCTGCAAAGCAGGGAAACGTGTATTTCTCATCACTATAATATCAGGAGGAAACCCTGGTGGCACAGTGGTTAAGAGTTTGGCTGCTAACCAAAAGGTTGACAGTTTGAATCCACCAGCCACTCCTTGGAAACCCTATGGGGTAGTTCTACTCTGTCCTATAGGATCACTATGAGTCGGAATCCACTCAATGGCAACAGTTTTTTTGTTTTTTTTTTTATTATAATATCAGGAACAGGTGCTTTCCTGCTTCTGGGAAACTAAGTGATGTTTAGACCTCTTGGTATGTTTCCACAGATGCGGTGCTTTTCAGCTCTGTCTGGCAGGTCATCTACGTCATAAATCCTGTGTGTTTACCTAAAACATATATCTTCCTGGGCACAATCTGGACTCACTGATGACTTAGCATGTCCCAGAGTGAGTCTTGGGATCCCCCAAGAGATAATTAATACTGATTATCTGAGAATCACATGATTAACCTAATCCCGTAGTATCAGTTGAACTTAGCCCCTTACCTGAAACTTACATTATCAATATGCTTTCAGTTTAGCTCCTTTGCCTAAAAACCAAGTACTAAACCTTCCCATTTTTAAAAGTGACTAACGAAAACTTCAGACGTTATATACCTTAGAGAAAAATAAAAAATATATATATAAAAACTGCTGTTTCCGTCATTCAAAAAACTCAGGCTATCCTGAGAGGACGGACGTGGACCGTTCTCCTCCAGTCATCTTTACGTATATCAAGTTAGGTATTTTTTAAGGTCTCTACGTGGTGCAAATGGTTTGTGCTTGGCCGCTAACCTATAGGCTGGTGGTTTGAACCCACTCAGTGGTACTGCAGAAGAAAGGCCTGGTGATCTGCTTCTGTTAAGATGACAGCCAAGAAAACCCTATGGAGCACAGGTCTACTCTGTAACGCATGGGGTCACCACAAGTTGGAGTCAACTCAATAGCAACTAACAGCAACAAGATATTCTTTGCACCTCCATGCAGGTAGTATTAGAATTATTCACAGCATTCCTTTTTGTGTGTGTGTGTGTGCAGGCATCTTGAAAACAAAATCTCTGTAAATCATGTGTAGCAAGAGGCATCTATATTTGCTCAGTTTGTGGCAGAACAAGAAGGAGAGACCCTCTAGCTTAACATATATTTGGTCATCTTCATGTATATATATTTTAAATGGGGATTTGTAGAGTAATAATTCCAAAACTTAATGTCTCTCTCGACAGCTGAAAAGGCTTTGGCTTATGAGACAAACCAGAAATGGTAAAATTACAAAAATGGATGTCATCCATAAGTCACCCAGTTTGTAATGTGGATAAAAAATGGCATCATTTGTTTTTGCTCATCAGTCTCTGTTGCTCTTGGCTGGTGCAAGGATCAAAAGCTACTATGATACAAACAGTTATTTGTCTGAACTGGATTTCTATCTTTTCCTTTTCAGAATTTATAAAAGTGATTCAGGTCTGTTTATCTGTTTAGACCAATTAATCTGCATTGAACTTTAATGTGTTTTATAGAAAACTATTAATTTCAAGACAACGGAAGTTTGCCTGGATTATGGTGGTATGGAGATGCCTAGAAGGATCATTCTATATTACAAAATTGGACTAAAATGTCATATCTTATGATTTTATAGGCTGTATTTTAAGGCTGTATTTTATAGACTGTATTAAGATCCTATAAAAAGGGAAATCTTAGTACTCAGAGTCCCTGCGTGGTGCAAATGGTTAACACACTTGGGTGCTAACTGGAAGGTTGATAGTTTGAGTCCACCCAGAGGCACCTCGGAAGAAAAGCATGGCAATTTACTTCTGAAAAATCACAGCATTAAAAACCCCATGGAGCACAGCTCTCCTCTGACACACATGGGGTCACCACGAGTCAGAGTCGACTCCATGACAACTTGTTTTTGCTTAGTGCCTGTTTGCAGCTTTTCTGCACTTGAAGAGCAATGCTTCAGGCCTTGACGCGATTGGGATTTCCGTGTATGACTGTCTCCGTTTTGTGGTCATCCTTGGTAGTTGACTAATACGGCTTGTCCTTTGACTGGGATTTCAGATCCGTCCCCACCACCAGCTCCAGCTAATCTCCGGCTTGCAAACTCCACCATCAACAGTGACGGGAGTGTGACAGTGACGATTGTTTGGGATCTTCCCGAAGAACCAGATATTCCCGTGCATCACTACAAGGTATTTTGGAGCTGGACGGTGAGCAGCAAGTCCCTTGTTCCCACGAAAAAGAAGCGGAGAAAGACTACGGACGGGGTGAGTGGGAACCAGAAGGAGGAGTCGAGCTCTTGGTGGTGGGGACGTTTGAACTCACAGCAAATGACCTGATAGGTGGTCTTTGCTGAACCAAAAGAAGGAAGAGTTGAAACCTCTCCATCTTTTTTGCTTTGATGGGGGAGTTCAGAGAATAGAGAGCATGTTGACAGTTTTGTCTTTTTACAGTGAAAGCCACTGAGTTTAGGTCCTTGAGCTGTTGTTGTTGTAGTTAGGTGCCATCCAGTTGACTCCGACTCATGGCAACCCCACGTGCAAGTAGAACTGACTACTCTGTAGGGTTTTCAAGCCTATGATCTTTCAGAAGCAGATCGCCAGGCCTGTCTTCCGAAACACCTCTGGGTGGGTTCTAACCACCCACCTTTCCGCTAGTAGTTGAGTGCTTAACAGTTTGTGCCACCTGGAGATTCCTAAACCAACCCCATTGCCGTCCAGCCGGTTCCAACTCACAGCGACTCAACAGGACAGAGCAGAACTGCCCCATAGGGTTTCCAAGGCTGTAATATTTACAGAAGCAGACCGCCATGTCTTTCTCCTGTGGAGTAGCTGGTGGGTTCAAACCGCCGACCTTTCAGTTAGCAGCTGAGCGCTTAACCAGTGCACCACCAGGGCTCCTTTGACACTGGTACTCTTATCAAAATGGCAGCCATGACCAGCAATCAAAGGAACAATTTAATGATTTCCATCTTGCCTGCCTAGCAATTGACAATAACACAATGCAGAGTATCTGTACAGTTGGATCTTTTTTTAGAGTTTCTTGCAGATTGAAAAGCAAATGTTCCTGGTTCTTCTGTCGCGTGGTGTTTCCATCTGTAATCTCATCAGCGGAACACTAAACGGCTTAGAATGTGCGTGTTTGATACCATGTTTTTCTCACTGATTAAAAGAATTTATAATTTTTTTTTTTACCGAGATACCAGGAAATAAAATCTTCATTGAACCATTTTCTGCAGTGAGATCTCTGTGACAGTCAGCATGTTGAATTGTATGAAATGGCTACTGCAGTAAAAGGCGTTATTCAGATTCTTTTAGTGTGTTTCTTTACCTGGTTATTACAAAATTTACAGGAACACCTTCCCCCCAATTGACAAAAGTGACTCCAGAAATAGACAAATGTTTAAAGATGCTTTTAAACAGATGAGGCTTTTTTGTTGGCACTAAAGATGCCCTTTAGTATTACAGAACGTGTCTCCAAAAGTGCTCATCACGCATAGTTAGTCGTCACGCTCTGATTTTTAATTTTAAGGAAACTTCTGGCAGTTCCATCTTTTATTATGAAGGGCTTTACACCAAGCGATGGTTAGTACTGCATACCTATGTCATAGAAATAACTGAAGAGCTGAAGTTGTGGAATCACAGAAATCTAAAACAAAATGTCATAGATTAAGTGCTGACCCCCTCTTGCCACATCCATTAATAACCCAATAGCATCAAGGGATAGTAGGATAATTTGCAGTTCATTTCTATCACAGATCAATCAGGTAAATACTATGCGAACAGCAAATTCAATTATAATTGGAAATAGACCCAGAGCAACCCAAATCATGGGTCACTTTTTTGAGTGACTTGTATTTTTCAGTCCACAAGATGAAAGCTATATGTCATGTGAATCCTTGAAGTTCCCAATATGAATGTTTGGTCAAATGAGAATTAGAATTGGAAATGAGAAGAATTCAGGTAGTCCTGGACTTACAATGGGGTTTCGTTCTGACGACTGCATTGTAAGTCGGTTCTGACTTAAGTCGAATACCTTCGGTTTTGTTTGTTTTCATTATGATTGCCTTTTATTTATCAGTGTCTTTATAAATCGTAACATTGAACATCTATGAGTGAACATCTGAGAAGGATAACATCAGCAGATTATGTGCTGCAACATTGTATTAGTACGTGTTACTGATGCTAAAATGTACAAAAACACCATCGTAAGCGCAGTTAGTCCTAACTTGGAATGCGTCGTCTACGTCGGGGACTGCCTGGACAAAAGAACCTGAGAAAGTACTTTCCTTTCTTCTTGGGAATCAGTCAGTTCCCATTTCGTAAGATAACCAGTAAGTAACCCCAAGTGTGTCAGCGTAGAATTGCTCCATAAGATTTTCAGCGGCTGAGTTTTTGAAAGTAGATGGCCACGTCTTTCTTCTGAGGTGCCTCTGGGTGGACTTGAACCTCCAACCTTTCAGTTAGCAGCCAAGCGTGTTAACTGTTTGTACCACCCAGGGATTCTGGTAAAGACAGCACACCAATTTGACCATTTATACACAGGTCTTCCTTTGGCCCAAGAGTCATGTGATATCATCCCATGTAGCATATATTGGTATGGGTTTTGGATTCTAAGACAGCAACTTTAGTCCCTTAATTACAAGTTCTCATAAGGGACCCTTCTACCCTAGAAAAAGTACTTAGTTCAGAGTTAAGAGACCCAGACTCCAGCCTTGACTTCACTGTTAACTAGTGGTATTCGCCTGGACATGTCACTTGACCTCTTGACCTTAGTCAACAGATTCCTGTGCGGCTTCAGGCTATTGGCCAGTTACGTTGTTTTGATTTGCTTCCTTTAATATTGAACGTCACACACATTAAGAGTGACATTAACAATCATGATGGCAGAAAAAATCTTCCAGCATTTTTTCTGGTTGATATTTTTTCTAAGTTTTGGTGGAATTTACTCACAGAAGATTTGGAATAGATTTCAAAGAAATCAACTGCTCCCAATGCCTATTTTTCCCAGGTACCATCACGGGGCACAGAATGTACCAACATAGCCCCTGTTCATTAGAAGCAGCTTTCTTTACTCTGCAAGCTAGAGTCCACAAGCGGGTGCCGAATTAGTTATTCCCACGGGAACTGGGAAGATCCATTCATTGGATTAGGAGCATAATTAGAAAAAAATATGTTTTGGCCTTTCTATGAAATCATTTTTCAGACCCTAAAGATGTAGAAAACTTTCTGGACTTACAAAATCGTAGACACACGTAAGCTAGAGGAGTTGGATGCGTCCTAATGTCTCTAGCGCGTGTGCGTTTCTGCAGTGAAGACGAGAGGTCCGGGGGGCTTACAGTGAGTCTGGATATATCCTCTCTCGTTTGCAGTCCCACCCTTCTGTGATCCTGGAGCGGCTGCAGCCGGACAGCAGCTACATGGTGGAACTGCAGGCCATCTCCTACTGGGGACAGACGCGCCTCAAAAGTGCCAAGGTGTCTCTTCATTTCATGTCCATGCAAACCGCCCACAACAGTAAGTGGCCGTACAGTTCTTCTCTAGCGTGTCTGACCTATTGCTATTGCTGTGTCCTGTGAGTCGGTTCCGACTCGTAGTGACCCCATGTGACAGAACAGAACTGTCCCAGAGGGTTTCCCAGGCGGTAGTCTTTATGGGAACAGATGGCTGGGTCTTTCTCCTGGGGAGCTACTGGGTAGGTTCAAACCGCCAACCTTTGGGTTAGCAGCTGAGCGCTTAACAGATGCACCACCAGGGCTCCTTATGTTTGACCTAGAAAACACATTATCAGATCAAGGCGCAACCTACTGAGCGGACGTTTTGACTTGGCAGCTTTACATGGTAAGTCATCCAGCCAGTAATCCTTTTAACTTCGACTGTGGTAAATAGTCTGCCTGGGAATTTTCCTTCGGAGTCTTATCTGTTGTTGACACAATGTTTTGGTGTCATAATGGACATGTAACGAGCATGTTTATCAGGTATCATGCACACAGGAGCCCTGGCGGCACAATGGTTAAATGCCCGGCTGGTAACCAAAAGTCAGCGGTTAGAATCCACCAGCCGCAAGAAAAAGATGTGACAGTCTTCGTCCATAAAGATTTATAGCCTTGGATACCCTATGAGGCAGTTCTACTCTGTCCTATAGGGTCGCTGTGAGTTGGAGTCAACTCGACAGCAGTGGGTATCATTCAGACATAGTAACTTTTTTTATATTTACTTTATTTTGGGTCCTTGTACGTACGCATACTTGCTTTTAAGGAGTTATAAGCAGAGACTCAGGAGTTCCTGGGTTGGGCAAACAGTTACGCCTTTGACTACTAACCAAATGGTTGGAGGTTCAAGTCCACCCAGAAGGCACCTCAGAAAAGGCCTGGTGATCTACTTCTGAACAGTCGGCCATTGAAAAGCCCATGGAGCAGCGTTCTCCTCTGACACACGGGGGGGCCGCCATGAGTCGGAGTGGACGTGACAGCACCTGGTGGGCAGTCAGAGAATGCATGCAGTCTTATAAACTCTGTTATCCCTCCTGACTCCGTGTGTGTGTGTGTGTGTGTGTGTGTGTGTCTGTGTCTGTGTCTGTGTGTCTGTGTGTCTGTGTGTGTGTGTGTGTGTGTGTCTGTGAGTGAGTGACAACTCCTGCCTGAAAGGCTGTCTCATGTTCCAGCGAGTGGGCTCATTATGTCATTTCCATCCTAGCTCCCCGTTTCCAGCTTCTTAACTAGTACGTTTGCCATGGTCTGAGCAGAAGGAAAGAAGAGCCTTATACATCCCTCATCTCTGAGCCAGGAGATGAGTTAGCTGATTGTTCTGCTTTGGGAAAAGGTGGATCCTGATTAGAACGGAGGGTCTGAGATGGTCCTGCAGAGGGTCCTGAGAAGGTTTCAGGGAACTGGGACAGAGGAAGAGAGCAGCGGCGAGACGGGCCCCGTGTCGGGAGCACCAGGGGTGTCGACTCCGTGGCTGCAGAGCCCTGCGGGGCCTGCCTTGCATCATGACTGCGGGCCTAGTGGAGAAAGAACATGTTAGAAGCTTGTTTGCACCTAGGACAGGCAAGGCTGGCTCTCTAGAGCCAGATGCCACAGTTGCTGGTGATGATCTCCCACCACCTGGGAAACAGTTGGACCCAGACGAGCAGGTTTGTTTGAAATGATGCTTTCAAAAAAAGCTCTAGAAACAGGGCTTCCTACCTGCCTGAGAAATGAACAGCCTCCTTGGGAAGTGAACAGATTTGAAACAGCGTACTATCTTTATGTGTGAGTCTGGGTGCGGTGCAACCTTTACATAAAAGTTCTCTTGCAAACATTTCTATGTGTTTACTAACTTCATTCATTTTTTAATGTAGTCATGCATTCATTCATCACACTGATATTGTGTGCCTATTAGTTTTGCCATTACTGTGCCTCATGTGGGGGCGGGGGATACTTTCTAATCTGATAC